GGACGACAAAGCCAACGCCTCCAACGTTTCGTCATGGAACTTTTTCACCACGAATGATGAAGGTCCCATCACTGAGCTGACTCACGTCCTTCTTCCTGAACTTCTTTGCTGCAAAGCGATGACTTGGTACTTGATGTACTCTGCGGCGTCGAGAAGAGCGTGGAGGTCGGTGTTTGGGAGACTGTCTAGGCGTTGGAGGTGCAGAGCATGAGGCAGTCTACATGGGGTGTCGTACGGGCAGACGTGTCATTTTTGTCCAATCAAAGAAACCCTGAGAACCCTGCCATCGTTCTTGCTATCACCCGGCGCCGTATTTCGAGATCCGATGTGCATGGTTTATCTCTCTTCTTTTTGCTGATCGAGTAAACTTTTCTCTATAAGAGACTTACTAGGCCAACTCTTGCTTTCCATGGGGTGATTGTGCCGGATGTTGAGCGGGGAGGAACCACCTAACGGCCGGAAGAGTCAGACGGCGGTGGATCTGGCGTGATCAGCTCGCTAGGCATCCAAAACCGGAAACAACGAACTCCTTCACATCTTGGGAGGTCCTACTAGAGGGCTGTGCATCGTAGTTCGACACCCAGTGTGTCACTCCCACGCCACGTTGAAGGGGCTGACCATTGTGAGGGGATATTCAACTCGAGTATTCTAAAGTTTGAGTTCAGTCGTTTTCATTTGGAAGAACAATAAATAAGAGGAAGCCAGTGAATGTGAGTGATTACTTTTGTAGCTAATAACCAAACCACAACTATCAAAATATCCACTACAACAATGGCCACTACTGAATGTGAGCAAATGATTTAGAGTATCTTTTCTTACCGAAAGTCTCTATGCACTTTAGACTCAAGCGCATTCCGTGCCAGGACCTTCGTCCATAGCATTCTTACACTCACGTCGCCTTCACCATCTGACTTTCCCACCTCATCAAAGTCTGTTGACGGAGCCAATATACAGGAGATGACGGATGAAAAAAACTTAGTAGAGTGGACACCCCGAATAGATAACCAAGAAGACATAAGTGCAGATATACTTGGGATCGAGACAACTACCGTAAATTTGACAGAGATAGAATCGCGACGCACCCTCGAAGAGCTCAAGCCAAACCAATTTAATGAAACTAAGGTAAGAGTAGAACTTGGATAGAACACCACTTTTGCTCAAATGAAGTAAAAACTATAAATGATGTTGACCTTAAAGTTACGGATTTGAGACTGGAAAAACTCAAAGGAAACCGATAACTACTGCAAAAAGCTCAATCACTAAAGAAACAACGGTTCCTGCTTGGAGCACGGAAACTACAGTTGACACCACGACACTACAAGAGCAGCTGTGCCCCATAGGGGACTCTATTGGAGGTAGGAATTGTTCCTACCTAGAAAGATCTATTGAACGTTTTGCTGTTGTAATTTGGATAACACAAAAGTCTTGTTTAGATTGTTTTGATCCATAAATTTTTCAAGGCAGCATTGCATGTGCCAAAACCCGCAAATGTAATGAACTAGACGGGTTGTAGTTTCTGGAATAATTAATTGACTATTGCAACATAACAAGATCTCTTTTTTCCACTATTTAAAATTCAGAGTGCATCAGCGACCAATGCCCAGAAGGCCATACCTGTTTTCGAAACGCTTGTTGTAAGAATCTTATAGTGCACTTTGCTGCTTACAACGAATTTCAGAAGTTTAGGTATTATAACTTCACAGATCAATTGCACCGACTCCCTCAAAGGATGTCTGCCGCATCTTTGTGGTAAGAGAGGGTACACAGAGTTCACAACTTCTAAATGTGCCAAAACATGTGCGCGATGCCATGCATACGAGCTGGCGAGTAACCTATGATTTTCAATGAAAGGTTCATCAGATATCATTACAGGATTCATCGGGATTGGTACAATGCCAAGATCGTCGCTCCGACTGTAAAGAATGGGTGGTGGAGGGCTTCTGCGAGAGTACGCTTTACTCCACTCGTCAAAAGCTGAAGTTCTGTGGAAAAAGCTGTCAGCTCTGTTAAGCAGTTATACCAGTGGATGTCATTTTACTTTACAAAATATCTTCACACGCACACTTCACCTCCTTTTCTCAAGTGATCGAAAATAATATCGTCAGTTCCAATGTTTCGGTACCTTCTACAAGTTGTCAAAGCGACAACTTCCTCACAGACGAGACTTGAGATTACTCATAACAGGCTCCTCTTGTTGCAAGAAGCTGACCAGATAGGAGTTATATTGTCCACAGTATATTCGAGTCTCCTAAGACTGCTGTGCGCCTTACAATTTAGGTAGGCAGTCATCAGATAAAGAAAATCAATGCGAGGAAGTGCACTGGAGAAATTCGTTTTAGAGCAGATCCTCACATGCAGATAAAACATTCCTAAGCATTTGCATGCAAATGCCTAAATACTAAAATAAAATAGAGGTCTCCAAACATTTTTAGCACTGCGTAATCAAGCTTGATATATGGCAGCTATTTTGCTTAGAAATGGAGAACACGGCCCGGTGCAGGAATGGACCACTGTGCAAATACACCTCTGCCACTTTTATCAGCGATTTCTTCCTTGATCGTATCAACTGTGAGAACTTGGTTGCAGTGCATTTTCTTGCTCACCCACCTCAGCTCGGCATCAGGTGGGCATTTGCCCACCTAGGTTGAAAAATGTTAAGCACGCTCTTTATTCACATACGTTTCTCAAAACATTTCATTCTTTGTTCCTTAACCCAAATGCGCATATACGGGGTGTCCCAAAAAATGTACAGAACGTTTGATCTTCCATAACTTCCTTATAAGAAAGCTTTCAAAAAGCTTTAGGCACCATCTTGTAGGGCTAGCTCCAACTTAGATTTAGAGTATGGAGAGTATCGCCGACTGCTCTCCATTAACTAGGATTACGGTAGGGACTTTGAAGAGGGTTCTGATCCACGAAAGGCCATATTTTGCCTCAGAAAAGAAACAATACACCCTAAAAACTCCCACACTGGGCTAATTAGAGTTGCTGATTCTAAATGTAAATTTCGCATTCTATCATACAGCTTCATTAAAAATTACGCGAGGTAGGCAGTAGCGGCCGTTTTTTTTCTTCATGTTCCTAAAAAGTTATGTTACACCGTTTAGAAAGCTTCGCAGTTACGTACATAGTCAAGTATTGAACTCAGCTTCCATGAAAACGCTACTACACAAGTTTTCACACTTTTTTGAAAATTTTTGAA